TCAAAAATTACATAAGGACGCGTCAAAAATTGATTAGCTTCATGAATGAAAATCATATGAATAAAATAAGATTACGCTAGCATGATAAAAATATTGAAATCTAAAATGGGATAACAATAACTATTTTTACATAGAATGCTTTTCCAACGGTTTTGGGCCTTAAAATTGACTCGAGGACCTCCAAATCCCACGTTCCACATCAACGCTTTATCTCTGTCTCTCTCCTCTCTCTAAGCTTTTTGGGCTAATTTAAAGAAAAATGAGAGAAAATGGGGGGCAAAAAATATATAATAAATTAGGGTACGTTCATAAATATTAAAAGGTAGATAACTAAATTGGAAACTTCACACTAATCAATACATGCAGCACTTTGATGCTTAAAAAACAACAAAAACAAATTAAGAAAATATGGCACGAGTTTGCACCAAATTATTGTAAAAAAACTCGTCCAAAAAAAAAGAGCAGATGAGATAGTCGCCCGATGGTTAGACATTTATTCTCGCAGGGAAAAGTTCCCATGTTCAGAAGCTCGCCAACCAAAAAAAAACAAAAAGGGGGATGGCACCAAAATATCCAATTGTACATGAATAACTCATCAATCATACTGGAAAATTCATTTTCATCATATTGGAGTATGTTGACCCATAATCCATGGATCACGTACAATTAGCAAGCATAATTATGATTGTAGAGAAATAAAAAACTATTGCCATTTGACTATCATATACACATAACAACCCAATGTAATCGTAATAAGCATTAACTTGGTTTAAAATAAAACTTAAAAAATAAGAAAAATACATACAGATGCTTGTAAATACTATTATGGGTCACAATTAAGATGAGTATTATACTACATATGAGCCAAAAAAAAAAAAATCAAGGATTTAAATTCTATAAAACTATAATACTTATTAAATGTTTGTGAATTTCTTAGTTTAAAAATTTTCCTTGTGATTTGATCCAAATGTGGGATTCACCAAAGTGAATATGAAATTTCATAACCTTCATATGTCATTGAAAAGGCCTCTCTGAAATTATTGAACTGCTCAATTATAACCAAATGGATAACACAAAAAAAAGGTGAGGCAGACGACAAATAGGCTAATGAGATCCTTCATCCAAGTAATTTTACACTTCCAATCAATAAAAGATGTCCCCCAGCATGAAGATCTTGCATAATATAAAGTAAATAAGCTTTATCATGCATAAAAGCACACAACTAGAATAAAAATATCTTAAGAAAATCCAATTCTTTGAACATTAGATATATCTGAATAAGGCATCTATAAATTAAATTTTTCTTGTTTTTTTGACACTCTAGTAAGCTTAAGGGACCCTCTTACAACCCTCGTAAAACCAAGATGTATATGACCCTCATAAAACCAAGATTTTTATTGCTCTATGAGTGCCAATTAAGAAGAATAAAGTCTTCCAAATTTCTAGCCTCCTCTCTTTAATCTCTTCTCTCAAATAAATCTTCCTATTATTCTGCTTGCTGACTTAAAAATGCTGGTTTTTTAACTTCATATAATAGATTTGATCATACAACTATGAATATTTGATTATAGTTCAACAAATTTTAAAAGTAGCTTTTTTCTTAGTTATATTAATATTTTCTTATGCAATATTGGTAATTATTTATATTACTCATAAACAGAAGCGTGTTTTTACCAATAAAAAATTTCAACCATTCATTTTAAATAGAATAACATTCATTAGTTTTATATTTAATCTCAACATATATCAATACTTTTATTTCATAGTGCAACTACATCAAATTATCTAACTTTCAATTAATCTCCTATTTTTAACTCCAAGATAATGTCAAGTTTTAGCTTTCATAATAGTATTTAACTCATTTTAACATAAAAATCTTAATTATTTATATAAAATTACCATTTGACCAAATGCCAATATTTTCCATAACTTCTAATCACATTCGTCAATTTTAAAAACACAAACTTTTCTAAGAGAAGGAACTTCCTAGAGCTCCAAAATATATCAACATTGTATCTTATCGAATCCATTTGATAATCATTTTAGATATGTTTAAATGTTTATAAGCTTTGATAATGTTCATTTATATAATACAGTATTATGATGTTTCTCTCATGTCACATCAAAACACAAGAAGATACAAGATTTTAAAAAAACAAATATAACATTCTAATGAGCATAACATAAATTAATTATATGACTTAAGATCATGTACATATTTCAAAAATATATCATATACTTTAAGCCACTTGCACTTAATACAAACACAGTTTTGCTACTTTCACATTAAATTTTCAAATTATCATATTTCTATAATAAAATTATCACAAGTAATTAAGAAATTATCCCCCACCACTTTCTGTAAGCCATCAAATAATTTTAGGACAAATAACTCTCATAAAAACTGAAGGACTAATTAGATATCCAATTACAAAAAGAAACTAGTGAATCTCTAACTTACAGAAAATTACAGATTAGACTTGAATCTATCACCCCAATCTGAGCTAAAGCATCTCATTCTATAGTTTCATTTCTGAAATATGCATCATAGATTTATATAAATATCAACATTTCCGTATTATGATGTTTCTCTCATGTCACATCATAACACAAGAAGATATAAGATTTAGAAAAAACTAAAAAAAAAAACAAATATATCATTCTAATGAGCATAACATAAATTAATTATATGACTTAATATCATGTACATATTTCAAAAATATATCATATATTTTAAGTCACTTGCACTTAATACAAACACAGTTTTGCTACTATCACATTAAATTTTCAAATTATCATATTTCTATAATAAAATTATCACAAGTAATTAAGAAATTATCCCCCACCACTTTCTGTAAGCCATCAAATAATTTTAGGACAAATAACTCTCATAAAAACTGAAGGACTAATTAGATATCCAATTACAAAAAGAAACTAGTGAATCTCTAACTTACAGAAAATTACAGATTAGACTTGAATCTATCACCCCAATCTGAGCTAAAGCATCTCATTCTATAGTTTCATTTCTGAAATATGCATCATAGATTTATATAAATATCAACATTTCCCTGCAAACAGACAGTACTCGCATCACACATAAATACAGAACCTGGATAATGAAAGCCCGATTATATAACAAAACGCTTTTAACCCAACAAAAAGAAGAATAAAAGGATACCATAGACACAGCAAATCAACTATCCAGACCTCATCTTATTGATCTGGTTTAACGCTGGCTGAAGTATATTGAACAGCACCCAAGCAATCGCCACACCCACTGGAACTAGCAACAGCAGGCCCCTATTATCCCTAGAAGCCGCCTCCGCGATCATCGCCACTTCTCCAGCTGATGCACTGGTTGCTGAGTTCAGGCCCAGTCCGAGCCCCAACCCAATGGCAATCCCTTTCACACTCCTCATCCTGTTGATCTGGTTCAACGCCGGCTGGAGAATGTTGAAAAGAACCCAACCGATAGCCGGAACTATGGGAATCAGGAGAGCAATGCCACGGCTGTCGCCATCGGCAATGTCGGCGATCTGTTGCACTGCAAGGGCGGCGTCGGCTGAGCTTAGGGAGGAGAATACCGCAGCAGCGATGGCAGAGGAGGTGAGGGATGGGAGAAAGGGTGGTTGCTGGGAGGCAAAGGCAAGGCCTTTTGGGAGGTTTTGAAGGGAGAGGAAGGCCGGGGTGGGTTTTGTCGCAGTGGCAGTTGTGAGCTTGGGAGGGGTGGGAGTGGATTTTGTGCCTAGCATCATCGTGGAGGTGGCGGCAGCGACGATGACGTTGGTGGCCATGACAGATGACGATTGAGGCTGTAGAGAAGTGTGAGGAAAAAAGGAAGAAGATGAGGTTAGGGTTTGTGCGTATTGCGGAGCATAATTTGGGCGGGGATGTAGTCACTGTCGTGGAAATGTTTGGAGCATGGATTGCCCAATGAGGTGGTGACAAGTGGATTCTCATCTTATCTTATCTTTGTGTTCCATGTTCTACAAATTAGGCCTCTACTTTTTATTGTTTATTTCAAGCTTTTCCATCTCCCATATGATTTACTAGCAATTTTCAAATGATTTATACTTTCCTTTCTTTGTCATTACATCTTTCTTTTTAAATAAATAGGAAAGTATCCATGTCAATACCAAGAGTGGGTGAATGATAACTAGTTAATATTATACTTCCATGTGATGTGGATTGATAGCATGTGAAACTCATTGAAAATGTAGAGTAGATAGACTTGCGGGTCATTGTTAATTTAGTCCTAGGTATATAGTCATAGTTTATAAGGGTTGACAACTTGGTAACTTGGTGGGTGGATAAGATGTCGCCATACTCATGGGAGGAATTACAACTTACTCATAGCCAAGGAAGAGATCGCCATGCTCAACTACAATAGCACACACAGTTAGTATTAATGGCATGCCTTCGACTATGACTCATTTGATCTAAATTGGGTTCCACCTAAATGTTGAGGAGAACTAATTAAGATAATGACATCAAAGTGTGGTTTTGACCAAGTTGGTCACTCTCATGGTGATGCTCTCAAAAAAGACTGATGTGCCTTAATTTACTCAACTCTATAAAACATTTGACTCTTTCAACTCATCATAAGAATATGTATAATCTCTAAGAGGTTGTTATATGAGGTAATTTGTTGGTTTGACAAAACCCAAGACCTAGAAAGGTGGATGACTGATCAAATTGATTACATTAAGTCAACATGAATATAACATATAGGTTGTGATCAATCAATAACTAATGGGAGGGTAACTTCTGTAACCCAACATGCCTATATGGTAAGGAATGACTTGATGAAAATGTAAATACCTAGCTTTGAGTGATATTGTTTGTCATTAAAAAAATATATGATTTGAAAAATGTTGATGTTGATTCTCCATCTCAATACCTCATCTCATAATTTGGTAATAAAAGAGGCCTCATTTTTTTATTGACAGTATGGAAGGGGATGCCAACCATTAGACTATCAATAAAAATTGATGTGCAAATGTATTAGACAATGGCTTATTACAACTTCCTCAACAAGAAGAAAGGTAGCCTTCAATTTCAATGTACTTAAGATCAAAACATAGCCACAAGAAAATAATAAGCAGGTGGTTATATATTATGTTATTGAGACATGCATATTTCACCTCTATCATAATAGGAACTCACTTGAAAATGTGTAAATGATAACAAGCTAAACCTAGAAACCAAGCATATTTACTCACTTGAAAATGAGTAAATGTTAACAAGCTAAACCTATAAATTTTTAAACTTTGGCCATCACAATTGCAAGGTGAATGGTAGCTTATAAAATATATATATATATATATAAAAATATCCATCAATGAATTGCTTAGGACCAAATAATATTAAAAATTAAAATTTACTAACTTTTGCAAGCTCAACTTGATTTTTTCAGTTTTCTTATCAAGGCATCATTGTCCATTTTCTCTCTCAATGATAGAGAAAATGAGAGGCCTTCATTACAAAGTTTTCTTAGGGAATGGGGAGATCAATAAAAGCATTGATGATGAAGTCATCATGAGTGATGGAAAGAATTATTGTGTTAGCTTTTAGAGGTAGAGATGAGGTGAATGCATGAAATGAATTGTGTGTGTGTGTGTGTGTGTGTGTGTGTGTGTGTGTGTGTGTGTGTGTTATAATTGTTTATGTTGATAACAGTGCACTTTTTATAGAAGATTTATGGAGTTATATTACTTTGTTTGTTGCGAATATCCAAAGTCTTTGGATTATATTAAGGGATTTTAATTTTATTTGTAGGTTTGAGGAGAAAGTAGGTGGTTCTCCAAGTATTCCTTAAAAGCTTATTGATTTTAATGATTGTATTCTTAAAACTAGTTTATTGGAGCTTCATAGTTATGGACATCTTTGGAGTTGGTTTAATTACCAACTTAACAATCGTATCATTGGATCAAGCTTTATGTAATTAACAATACTTTGATATATTTTCTCATTCTTATCTAAAAGTTATGGATTCATTTTCCTCTGACTATTGGTCTATTTTGGTTTACTTGGATAATTTGAGTAATTTGCATGGTAGATTCATGTACAAGAATTATTGGAGTTATTGCTATAATTATTTTTCATTTATTAGTTATGCTTAGAGTCTTTTTATAAAAGGTAGTCCTTTATTTACTTTTATTTATTGAATTAAAGAGCGTTAAAATAAATCTTAAAAATACTCAATGGAACTCTTCAATTTTTTGTCTGAATCTATTAAAAATCTTAAAATTTAGCATAATAATATTATGAACCAATTGGATATTATTCTCATTAACAAGAATGTACTCTCTTTAGCTTCTCACAATAAAAAAGAGTTTTGTACTACTTTATTAAATGATTATGAATGAGCTAAACAAATAACTTAATGCCCTTGGCATACTAAAGTGAAAGATGACGCTAAATTTCTTTATCAAAAAGTTAAATTAGACATTATTCTACTTTTATAAAAGATTTTTCATTCAATAATCTTTAGTTAAAAGTGAAGAAGATATTGCTAGCGAATCTCTCTTTCTACCTTCTCTTTTAAACAGTAAATGGGTTGTTTTCAGTGATTTTATTAATTATTTCTTTTTTAAAAATATTATCTCTCCTGTTGAATGCAATTATTTACTCGTAGATTTTTCAGATGAGGAGACTAAGCAAGCTTTCTTTATTATTGGTCCTAACAAACCTTCTAAGCTTGATGGTTTTACTTCTAATTATTTTAAAGACTCATGGCAAATTATTGGTTGTAACTACATTAAAGTTGTTAATTATTTATTATGTACTTCTAAAATGTCTCGTATGATTAAACATTTCTTCATTGCTATCATTCCTAAAAAGCCCAGAGCAAAACATTTTAATGTTTTTAGGCATATTGTGTAATATTATCTATAAGGTTATTGATATCTTATTTTATAATAATTTAAAGCTTATTCCTCTCATGAGATTTATTGTGCCCAAGATATTTTCATTAAAGATGGAAAAATTATAGATAATATCATATTGACTAATGAAATGTTGTTTGGTTTTAATTCTATCAATGCTTCAAAAAAATTATATTCTAAGTTTGATTTAAGGAAAATTTTTATAGTGTGAACATATCTTTTCTTCTTTGATAGAATGAAATGTATGAGCTTTCTTTCTATCTTTATTAAATCAATTAAAGCTGGCACTATAGCATCCTTTTCTCAATTATTGTTAATAGTGAATTATAGGATTACTTTTCTACCACCTCTGGCATTTGTTAGTGTGTCTTATTTCCCCTTAAATTTTTGTCATCGTTATGGATGCATTATCTTTCTTATCTGATTCTCATATGCATATTCTTACTAATGGTGACTAAAAATATTCCCATTTAAAGCTTATTCCTCTACATAGTTAAAACTAAACAAAAAGAAATAGACAAAGATAGAGGCTCCATCACACATTTCAACTTCTAAACTTTAACAATAGCTATCTACAAATTATGTTAGAATGGATGCTTTTCAATTTAAAACCCAACCAGAGCTAAAGCCCATTCCTTTGAGCCATCAAGAACTTTTTTATAGAGAAAGAAACCCGATCAAAGGAATTTAAAACATATGACAAATTAAAATTAGTAGGACTAGTAAGATTAGAAGAAAGAAGACTCTTCTAATTGAGAATAGGGCTTAGGCCAAGATGATATTGAGAAGAAGAAGCAAGAGGTGGGGAAGAAAAGCCCCCAAAACAAGAAAGAAAACTAGTAGAAAAAGAAATAGGGAAGAATAAATGAAGTTTTCCAAGAGAGAGGGAAAACAAGAGTAAAAATCATCAAACCCTAGAGGAGATCCGGAATGTCTCCAAGCAAAACCCTACAATTTTTAACCAGTCAGTGGTAAGAATGGCAAATGGACATATAAGCAGAAGCCGATTTTCCTACCAAATTGCACCCAAAACCCTGAGCCAGACTTCTTATTATGCCCTTATTCTTCCTCCATCGCCTCTGCATAATCTTCCCACGCCACCGTACACTCCACACTCTCTCCTCGCCACCACCGCCGCCGCCGCCGCCGCCGCCGCCGCTTCGGCCTCCGCCGATCAAGTTCGACAACGACACCATTATTGCCACGCTCTCCTCCTACTCCAACGACTGGAACCGCGCCCTCGAATTTTTCCACTGGATCTCTTCTACCCCTGGATTCTCCCACTCGTCAGCCACTCTCACCGCCATTGTCGACGTCCTCGGTAAGCACTTTGAGTTCGACCGTGCATGGTCCCTCCTATCCTCCTACCCCTCTCTCCCCGACCGATCCACCTTTCGCTCCCTCTTCAACCGCCTCGCTGCCGCCCGCCTCGTTTCAGACGCCCTTATCGCTCTCGATCGATCCGCTGCCTTCGGACTCCGCGACCGTCAAACCTTCCTTCAACTCATTGACGCGCTCTGTGCCCACCGCCTTACTCCCGAGGCCTACGATCTCTGCTTCAAAAATCCCCCCTTTTCTGTCAACTGTGACACCAAGGCTCATAACCTCCTCCTTCAAGGATGGCTCAAGATGGGCTGGTGGGGCCAATGCCGGCGCTTTTGGGAGGAGATGGATTCTCGGGGCGTTGAGAAGGATCTTCATTCCTACTCCATCTTCATGGACATTGTGTCCAAATCAGGGAAGCCCTGGAAGACCATTAAACTCTATAAAGAAGTGAAGAACAAAGGTATTTCGCTGGATGCTGTTGCTTATAATACTGTAATTCAGGCTGCAGGCCATTGCGATGGTGCTGAAAGAGCTATTAGGATGTACAGGGAAATGCTTGACTCTGGCTGCAAACCAACTGGCGCAACATTCAATACTATCGTGAATCTGCTCTGCAGTGAAGGGAGGGTGAGGGAAGGGTATAGGTTTCTGGGTGAGATGAAGAAGATGGGGTGCGAGCCAGATGTGATAACATACCATTGCTTCTTCCGGCATTCAAGCCGACCACAAGAAATCTTGTGGCTCTTTGAAAGGATGGTGGCCACTGGCTGTAGGCCACGGATGGATACTTATGTGATGTTGATAAAGAAGTTTGGGAGGTGGGGATTCTTGAGGCCAGTTTTTAAGGTCTGGAAAGTGATGGAAGAGCATGGATGTAGCCCTGATGCGTTTGCTTACAATGCCTTCATTGATGCATTGTTGCAGAAAGGGATGGTAGAAATGGCAAGGAAATATAATCAGGAAATGGTGTTGAAAGGGCTTTCTGCCAAGTTAAGGAAGGATTTTGAGACCAAGTTGGTTAGTTGGCAATCTGGAGATGAAGATAACAATAATCATTGTTCAGTGAATGTTACATTGTGAAGATGTCTTCTTACGAGCTGTTTACAAGAAGAACACAATGGAAGGAGCGATTCCTGGAGTTGGAATGCGGAATTTTATCTTATGCATCAGATGAACTGCGAGTTATAGGTGGGTGAAATTCAACAACTTTTTTTTGTCCAGTTCATGAAATCTGATTAATTAACGGAGAGATGTTGATGATTGTCAGCTTGCCTACAAAGCTGATGCTTACATAAATGGTTTTCACAGAGTTAAATAACATTAGGAAGATACCATGGAAAAGAAGTTTTAATGGGGTGTAATTATGTTATTTATTTGACCTATTGGAGAATGATAGTTTCTGAGTGTTATTTTTTGTGTGAACTAAACAAAATGTAAGAGAAGAAGTGAACAAACTGAAGTTGGCAGTTTTATTTTCATCAAGAAGCAAGCAGTCGCCTTTATAGACCAGTATTCAAATTTGAAGTGATTCCTCTTGGTTTAAAAATCACATAATTCTTTTCGTGCAGAGCAAGTTGTTCACAAGAACAACCCCATGCTATTATAGGTATGAAATCTCTCTCTCTCTCTCTCTTTCTGTCAAATTCCTAGCTTTGTGGCCTTTTTTGATTATCCTCAGACCGAATAAGAAAAGAGGTTGACAGATTGTGTTTTAGCCGTCAACAGGAAAGCTTTACTGTATAATAATGAAAGGATTGCACAGAACGACTTATTTAGAACTGGTATTTGAGCAAGAGATGGTATGTAATTAGTGAATCTGTGTTGGTTGGCCTTATATCTTTGTTAAACAGATGACTGATATGAAATTAAAGATTTGATCTATAATTATTTTCACAGCATCTCTTTATCCTACATATTTCTGTGTTCCTTAATTTAGTGAAGTTAACTAGCTTATTACTTAGAGTTTTATGGATCTTGTTAATCATGTTGGCACTAGTCTTCAGAGATATGCACTATGTTAACAAATCCTTTATCCTGCATATTTCTGTGTTCCTTAATTTAGTACAGTTAACTAGCTTATTATTTAGAGTTTTATGGATCTTGTTAATCATGTTGACACTAGTCTTCAGAGATATGCACTATGTTAACAAATGATTATCACAACTCTTGCTGTATCCTGTAGCAAAAAAATACCGATTTCCCCTTTTTTTGGGTGAAGAGGTTGGGAGTTGTCGGCATGTTAAGGGGGCGAGTTGGGACTTAAGATATATATAACAAATGATTACCCCTTTATTTGGTCCTGTCTACATTTTCTTCTTAAGATATATATTTTTATGCTAGCAATTTCTGCTTCCTATGGCAATTAAGCATGGAATTCTTATGAATTTTTGTAGCAATCTCCGACATCATGTTTATTATTTATTTATTTATTTATTTTGTGGGCATGCTGCATATTTTCCTTGTTCGAACATAGGTTAAGACATGATACAAAGATTTCACATAATTAGTTTGGATTTATGTTCTGCAAGTCTACCATGGAAGCTATACATTTATTGAGAGGTTTGATGGAGAAATACAGAGAGAGTAAGGATGATTTATATATGATTTCTATTGATTTAGAAAAAAATTACGATAAGATTCCAATATAAGTCCTTTGGAGAGTTCTATAGAAGAAATATTTTGATATGACTTATATCCAAGTCATTAAAAATATATATACTAGAATTGTTACTTGTGTTCAAACAGGAGGATTAACCAAGTATTTTCCTATTTCAGTTGAATTACATCAATGATCGACTTTAGGCCCATATTTTTTTTGCTTTAGTTATGGATGCTCTTATTGGAAATTTACAAGAGGATATACCTTTTTGTATGTTTTCTGCTTATGATATCCTTTTTGTGGATAAGATTAAAGAAATGGTTCAGGAAAAACTTGAATTATGGAGGTCTATATCGGAGTTTAAAGGCCTTTATTTGAGTCGATTTAAAATTGAGTACATGACGCGTAATTTTAGTAGTAGTAGCTTTAGTAGCAGAGTTGTAATTATGGGTGATCAAATCATTTAAAGATGTAAACATTTTAGATATATCGGGTTTATCGTTCAAAGTGATGGTGATATAAATGTGGATGCTATTAGTAGAATTCAAGTTGGTTGGCTGAAGTGAAGGAATGCATTGGGCCTAGTATGTGATAGAAAAGCGACTCTTAGACTTAAAGGAAAATTTTATAAGATGGTGGTGAGACCTGCAATGCTACGACACAGAATGTTAGCCTTTAAAAGAGAAGCATAAAATAAATTTAAGTTTTGCTATGATGAAAATGCTTAGGTAGATAAAATGCGAAACAAATCTATTCGTGAAAGGGTTGCTGTAGCTCCAGTGGCAGACAGGATTAGAGAGGGTTGCCTTGGATGGTTTGGTCACATTAAACGTCGACCGTCTGATGAATGGTTAGCAGAGTAGATGTTTTAGTTTCAATTTATGTTAAGAAAGACAGAGATAAACCCAAAAATATATGGGCATACTGTATAAAAAATGATCTTAAGCTATTAGAATTAAATGAAAATATGACACTCTATAGGACACAGTAAAGAAAAAGGATTCATGTAGCCCACCCCATTTAGTGGGATAAAGATTTTTTTTGTTTTTATTGTTGTTGTTGCGGCATACATTTTCCTATGCTACTAAAATTAAATCATGGCATGCCTCTTATGTGGAGTGCTTCAGTGCTAGCAATACACAATTTTGATTAAGTTTGTGGACTTCAATGTATATTTACTAATTGTTAATCTAACAACATCCCTAAATCTTTCTTACCCAAGGTTTTGTCCATGGTGTAAAATAGTGCAATTGATTGTTGAACTACTTCCTGCCTGTGAGGCAATGTGTAAGACTTGAGGTGTTTTGAGACATAAGCATCATAAACAAGCTATATGTAATAATAAGTATTATATTAACATCAAAGTATGTCCCAACATCAAATCATGAAATATAAAAAGTTTGATAGAAACATTAAGATAAGATAAAATACCAAAGTGAGAACATAACCATTCAAAATAAGTTCAACAGAGTAAGCATCTCTGCCACTCCTACATCATGATAAGCATATAAAAACTAAAATTAAAAATTTTAAGTTTAGAAGTTCCCATCACTCTGGTATATCTTCATTAGAATCATTGACATTATAAAATGATTACTCTCATGTCTCACTGTGAATTGTATCAATATTGTCCCAACATCATCAATCTTATGTATATTTCTCTTTTATAGTAGATAAAATTCAACAAGAATAGTAGGTAAAGTCTAAAATAATGGCGATATTGATTTTTATAACTTCAATGTCATAAATTTGTGTAGTTTTTCTTTTTATCTGTTAATTTCTTATTGAATTTTTTTAGACATATTGATCTTACTTATATATTTTAGTTTATAAAAAAATCCAAGCCCTATCATTATTAGCCGCATGCCTCATGATAAAAAATCTCCAAAAAAAAGCCGAGGCACACCTTGTATTGCACAATTTTAATCAATGTTTGTGATTAGCATCGGCAATATTCTTTTTGTTGATTTGAAAAAAAAATCAGATCATTTATTTTGATGATATAAAACTCGATATAGCCGACATACTTGTGATTTTTCATTAAACCGACATACTTATGATTTTGTTTGTTCATTGCAGGCATATGTCAAAATAACCACAAACAAGACCGTTAGAGATTTTTTTAGTATTGCAGAAGTACAATTCGGCTATTTAATCATGCCTGGAATATGGAGTGCAGTCTAGGATTATTTATTTGTATTTTCAATGTGTATTTTCATATGAATTTAATGAAAATAGGCCATTTGTCTGAAGAGTGTACAAATACATCAAAATCACTAGAAATCATTGCACGTATAGTGTGTAATTAGGCAGCTGATTCCCTTGTTTTTCTGATGGATTTTTTCGACTTTGGTGAAATTTGGATATTACAGCACTGTAAATTACGCCCTCATTTTTGCCGTCATTTTTGGGCCACCCTAATATCTATGAATGATTCACCCGTTTCAGCCATATAATAGCCACCAAAATGTGCCAAATTTTGAATTATATAATGTTCATTTTCCATCTTCAGCTTGCAAATGTTCTATTTTGTTTAGTTAATACTTATGTTTTGCAAATGTTGAAGTTTAGTTGTTAGATATGGAAATACATAAGAATTGGGTGATATGCATGTAAATCTTTCTATTTATTTACATCCACAGTGTTGAAAGTGAATTCCTGCATTAATAAATCTGCTCCTATTGAATGGACCTTCAGCCAATCTTCTGAGAATAAGCAGTATTATCAATATAAATAATCTAGTCTACTTAAGAAGAACGATTTGAATCAACATACACTCCTTGCATATTTTGGCAACATCATTTGCATTCCACAAACAAACTTTGAGCATTGTGTTGGATAAACATTCAACAACAATAATTCATCTCTCAGGAACTACATATTCAGTTTTTTTTTTCTTATTTTTTGCAGCAGTTTATGCTCATCTCATTTGGGTTGCGCTTGAAGAGGAAAATTTTCAATTGTTGGATAGGAAAGTCATTGAAGCACATTTGATCGCGAGTTTTCTATTGTCTTGAATGATACCTGGCCTGAAAATGCAATGACTTAATCCATGATTCTTTTCCTTCCTCTCCTCAAGCCCTTCTCTCCTGTTGAAAAATAACAAGTTTTAAATTATTTATTTTTAACTACTTTGTCACTTGTAAATATTTTAAGTAAATCGTCTACATGAATTTTTAACTAGCTATTGTATTAAGATGGAAGCAGTACCCTAATTTTTCCCACAGTTTTAATTTCAGCATTAAATTATTATTCTATTCATAAAATATACTTTAATTTAAATAGCACAGAACTATATAAATATTTTTTTACTTGCAATTTTGAAATACATGGAACATATTTATATAGTTATATATATATATATCACTAACTTATATAAGAGCTGAACCAGATAAAAAAAAACTAAAAGAAATCATCAAACCAGAAATAAAAAATACATTAATTATATACATATAAAATACCATTCTTAACATCTTTTACCATGTTTAATTATAAAAACTATGGCCTTCTTTAACTAATTTTCTATTTATTTAGGAAGGTGCTACATAATTGGAAAATTTGATTGCAGGATATATCCTCCAAGCTACGCACCCATATACATATATATTATGTGACTAATGTAGAATATTTAAAAATTAGAGAAATTTATATACATAACCACAATTCATATGAATGTTATATATCTAACACCTAAAGTTTAATATTTGTATTGACAAAAACTTTGGTGTTATAAACTTATTCAATAAAAAAAAAAGGTACACGTCACTCATAAAAATTGAACAATAATGATTGTTTTTTTATTAAAAAAAATGAAGTTAAAGATTTGAGTTGTATGCATATAAATATCAAAATTGAAGAGTTGGATATGAAAACATACAAGAATTCTGTGGAATGCATGTAAATGCCCCTTAAAATTATTTAAACCATTTTTTGCCTTACTTGCTCGGAGGGCAGTGCTTGCAGTTTTATTTCTTCTGCAATATTCTTCGTGAGTATTTGGACCGATGCCTTTTCCTGAAAAGCTTCGTATTCCTGATTCCATCATAAAAGAGTTCATGCGCAAAACATGATATATAACCTTTTCTCAGCAGCTCTTCTAACAGTTTCTTAGGTGCTGCAATTTCTTTCTTATTACTACCAGCAATGGTGTCCACAATCTCTGGAACTGCTCCATGATCCACCATTATATGTATAGTTCTGACGGCCTCTTCCACTCTATGATCCAAAAAGAGACAATTCATCACTTTCCCGATCGTCATCATCCACAGAACAAATCCATTACTAATAACTTCCATCAGGAGTTTCTAGGCACGGTCAAACTTTCCGATGTTGCAGAAACCAAAAATCATAACACGAAAAGCATACGCATCCTATCAACAACTACTTCCAAAGCTCTCTCCACATTCAATACCTTGCAGAAATCATATACCAATGCAGAAATCATATACCAATATGTTGAAGGTGAAAACGTTGAGTAAGAAGCCTTTAGCAATGGCATTATTCATGACTGCGTTAGCAAGAGACATATTCCTCATTTTACACAAACTGCTGTTTATAACATTGTAAGTCCAAGAATCAGGATTACAGCCATTTTCTATCATTTCACTCAACAGATCCAAAGCTTGCAAAATATTTCACTGACGATAGAGCCCCTTAAAGAGCGAATTATACAAAACAGCATCAGGCGGAAAGCCTTTGGTTAAAGCCTCATCGAACAGTTCTATAGCCCGATTTATATCACCTTCCTCGCATAAACCATTGACCAATGAGCAATATGTCACCCCATTAGGCACGAATCCTTTGAAATTTGCATCTTTCAGGCATTCTGTACCCGGGCTGATTTGCAATACCCATCAATTATTGTGTTGTATGTGAAATCATCAGGAAAGCATCCTCTGTTTACCATTTCAAGAAGATAGCTCTCCGCTTCATCAACCTTTGAGTTCTTGCAGAGACCAGAGATAAGCGTATTATAAATAATTACATCACGAGTCAGATCCTTATCCAATAACTCAGACAAACTTATAGCCTCCTTTATCTTGAATACTCTACAAAGACCTTAAGTTAGTATATTGTATGTATACAAATAAAGAATAAACCTCTCTTCGTAACTTTTGCAAGAAGCCTGCTGCTCTAAAAGACATCTCCTTTTCTACAAAGCACATGTATAAGTTTATTAATTGTAAAAGACATCTCCTTTTCTACAAAGCACATGTATAAGTTTATTAATTGTAAAAGACATCTCCTTTTCTACAAAGCACATGTATAAGTTTATTAATTGTAACTATATCAGGACAAACATATATACCAAGCATCTCATCAAACAACTCGCATGCTTCACCTGGAGGTTTTCTTGATACAGCCCACAAATAACATTGCAGTATGTGATTGCATTAACATCATACCCTCTTTCTGGCAAGTTCCTAAGTAGCCTAAGGGCTGTGGCCTTCTTGTTCTACAAAATGAATTTATCCTTAGTGAATGTATAAACTTCAGGGATGATTCATTTCTCAAGCATCCTCAGATAAACTTTGTGAGATTGATCAGTGTATCCGTATTCGACTAAAATGTTCATAATCGTATTGCACGATAAAACTGTGGGCTCACAGTAAAAGATCCATTCTCTCAAAGGTGTCTACAGCATCTGGAATCCTCCCCTTCACCCCACTTCTTCATCACACTAACATAAATGCCTTCAAGCAAAGAGTTCACCACTTTCCTTCTCATCTCTGAAATTACTCTATTCATCGCTTCAAACTCCCCTAGTTTTTCCACCATGCACTTGTAGGTGGAGCGATCGTGCTCAAATCCCTTATCCTTCACGACAGAAGTGAACATTCTAGTGCCTTAAGAGGATCTTTCTGGCATTTTATAACAGGAAGCACATGCTTGGGGAAGTAATGTGGCTAATTACCTGCTTCGAGCTCTCAACTGATTTGGCTCCTGCAAATTACCAATTGGCTATGCAAACTTTACCAAAGTGAAAAGATCATGACAATATCAAATTAGAGAAGTTTACAATTCCCAAAGAATTATCATATAGGGATACAAACATTCAACTAGTGATTTATAATCAATTATACTTTGTAAGAAAGAAGATTGTCCAAGCAAAATTCACAAATAACGCAATGATATATTAAATTATGCAAATAAAGATCAAAGTCAACCATTTATATGCGTAAAAATGAAGCCTTTGAGTGAACAAAACAAGACTCATTTATAGGCTTCTCCAAATATAAAATCCACAACTGGATAGTGACTTCCGTTAAAATATACTTGGTGCCTATTATAAATTCTATAAAGCACTCTCGACAAGCCCGTCATATTTTATGTTGCTCTAAATGAACACCAAAAACGCGCCCCACAAGATGAGTGTACTCACTACTTACTATGAGCTAGAGAAAGAGAAAATAAAACCGAACAGATCTCATATATTCAATGTTTTAAATAAGCGAACACGATATTACAAGTAATACTTCATCTCGAAAGATAAGAATATCACTCAATAATAGTCTAAATTATTCAAATTAAGAAATTTATGATATTTATTTGGTCTG